CATTCACTTCTTTTGCACAACTATAATAATCGGATCAATCTTGAATTTTTGCCATAAACTCTATTTTAGACTATGAGAACTTATTGAATTATATTTGCTGTAATTGTGTTAAATCATTTGCTGAAATGAATGAAATACACAGTAGTATTTTAATGTATGTCTCATATTTTCTTTTCATGAACAGCTGTAGTCCAGTCTTTTTTTTTTTTGCAGCATTTTTTTCCTGCACATTTCCTATTATTTACAAAAAAGGATAGAGATATATATTATTTTTATCCTGCTATTTTTAGGGAACTCAGGGTGATATATCTGACTCCTTTTTTTTCTCCCTTTCCAATCTCATTTTTTCTAAAATAGATTCAGTTGAGAATGAATTATCCAAAATCACTCAGTGAAATTAACAATAGAAAGAAAACTTACATTTAAAAATAAATAAATTTGTGAGTGCCATCTAAAAGAGAATCAGGAATATCATAACAATATATTTTTAGGGATGTCATCTCTAGCATCGTTTGACCAAAACAAGGAAGGTGTCAGGAGGGGCATTTCTTGAGGAGATCAAAACACTTTGATTAGAATATAATGTGTAGATATTTTCATTGACATAATTTGACAGAGTGCCTGCTACAGTTTTTAAGATGTTTCTTCATTTTTCTATGTTTATCAATATTGCTGTTATATGTCTGTTTTCCTTCAAAAGGAGGAGTTAAAACAGCCTACAAAGGGAAAAAGGAGTTATCTTCTCCCCTTCTACATGACATTATGCTTCATGGAGAAATAATTGTAGGGGAAATAACTCTTCATTCAGACCATAAATGTTTTTGTTGGTTTGATTGTGAAAATACTGGATTAGCAGAATCTGCTGGAACACACTAAAAACAGAAAAGTCAGAACTTGTCTCACTAGTCCTAGAGCTCAGGGACTATTTATGCATTAGCTGTCTTTTTCTTAGAAAAGAAAGAGAATAGCTGAAAACTAATTCTTCATTTTCATAGACATGCTTGAAGAATATGGGGTAACATTTTTTCACCCAGGATATTTTTCTCCTGTTCAGTATACTTATTAATTTAGGTATGAGAATTTTATTCTGTATTTCCTTTCAAGGAATCCAGGGCTTCCCACAACAAACATCTTATCTTCACAACAACCCTATGAGGAAAGTTAGACAGAGAGCTTGCTGAACAAAGAAAGCATTCCAAGTAATCCAATAAACTTCATTTTTAAATTATGTTTTTGAATGAGCATAACTAAATCTTACAAAACACAATTTATTGGAATAAAAATTTTAAATATACATCTTAAAAAGAAAAGGGGAACACTACTTTTTTTTTACATACAAACTTGAGAATTGGCTGAACAGTTCAAATGTTTAGAAAGAATATTTTTACAATCTGAAGATTACATACAACAAAATTAATCCTGTATAGTAATGTAAAATGTAGTAATGGGAGGACAAGTCCCAATCATGTTAGTTTTATTGTTTCATTCTTCCAAATTAATCCCTAGAGCAGTGGTTCTCAACCTTTTTATTGCCGCGACCCCAACCGGTCGTAAGTCGAGGACTAAACCGGTCGTAAGTCGAGGACTAAACCGGTCGTAAGTCAAGGACTACCCAACCGGTTATAAGTCAAGGACTTTCCCTGCCCGGGAGCGCCGCGTATGCATGGTTCCGCCCCCTGCGCCAGCCGAGGCGTAGCTGGCAAGCGGCAGAGACGGAGCAGGCCGACCACCAGCTGGCCCAGCCCAAGGGAGGTAAGGCACCTGCCGGAAAAGGGGGAAAAATGGCGGACAAAAAAAATGGCGGACAGCCTTGCTTGGCGACCCCCATGAAATGGTCGATCGACCCCAAATGGGGTCCCGACCCACAGGTTGAGAACCACTGC